ATCAAAAAAATGATTTTCCTTATTTGATGGATCATGGCAACTTTTTTTGGTGATTGAAATAGATAACTTGGAGACATGGAACAAACTTCAAACTTGGGTAAATTTATACTAGGGGTGGTAAACGATTAACGATTAATCGATTAATCAATTAAAAATCATTAATCGATTAATCAACAAACAACTAATTGATTTTTTTTTTTTTAATATAACCATATTGCGTTTTTTTTGTTCCAAAGATTTTTACGAACATTTACAAGCGTTTTTTTAACGAAAAACACTTGTGTTGACTTTTATCCGGCATCTGGTCAAATATAATTATAAACAAACAAAAAAAATGCTTTTTCATAGTGCAGCTGCTTGACCACCATTTACAATGTCGTTTGGAAAAAACCTGAAGTTTGGAAACATTTTTTATTGGAAAATAAAGATAAATCAACATACAAGTGCAAACATTGTTCAGTCGAACTTAAATTCCATTCATCAACTTCAAGTTTCTTGTATCATTTAGAGCACTAACATAAAATTTTTTTGACAAAAGTTCTTTCAGAGAAGTCTAAAAATATACAGCCAAGTATTGCAGCCTATTGTAATAATATAGGTAGCAAAGCTGAAAATGTATTAGCTCGTTTGACTGCTGTTGATCGTATTCCTTTTACAACTTTGGCCAATAGCAAAGATATTAAAAATGGCTGGAAAGCTCAAGGACTTAAAATACCTGATGATCAACATGCTATAAAAACAATTGTTATGAACTACGCAAACTCAATGAAGTTAAAAGTTGTTCAAGAGCTTCAGCAAAAAAAAATTAAAAAAAGAAAGGTTTTCAATTTTCTCTTGATGAGTGGACTTCTGGTAAAACTAGAAGGTATTTATGTCTTAATGTACATTGTTTAGGCAAATGTCACTATGGTCTTGGAATGATTAGAATAAATGGTTGGTTGCCTTCAGAAAGAGCTGTTAATATTGTTATTGACAAATTAAATGAATTTAGCTTGAATTTGATCAATGATATTTTTGGATGTGTTACTGACGGTGCATCAGTAATGAAAAAAATGGGACGAGAAATCGGAGTTACACACCAACATTGCTACTGCCATGGAATTAATCTTGCTGTATGTGATATTCTTTATAAGAAAAAATAGAAACAACTCAAGAAGAAATAATTTGTGACGAGAATGAAAATGAAACATCTGAGTCCGACCCTGATGATGAAAACGACACTGAAGAATGCTAGAATGAGGAAAGCATTAGCTCTGTTTTACAGGAAATCCAGTTTAATGAGGACTATGGCATCATCATATCGAAGGTTCGTAAAATAGTCAATTCCCTTCAAAATATTTGTAGAACAGATTTAGGAAAAGAACTTAAGCCTATTTTGGATACTAAAACAAGATGGAATTTTCTAATAAGTATGTTAAAACAATTTTTAAAGTTAAAAAATATTGCAAAGGCTCTTGTCGATATATCAAGAACAGATTTAATTTTAAAAGAAGAAGAAATAAAACACATTTCTGATATTGTTTAGGCTCTACATGTTGTAGAGTTAAGTGTTATGCAACTTGGGAAAAGAGACTGTGATCTGATAAAATCTGATAAAACTATTTTGTTTTTACTACAAAATCTTAAAGAACAAAATACTAACATTGGTCAAAATTTATTTATTGTTGTCTCGGAGAGAATTGTCTAAAGAAGAATTTGTACTATTGCTGGTTTACTGTGCTTTTTACATAACCCAGCTGACTATAAATCAGACTCAGAATTTCCAGATAATCTTTTGAAATACCTACATAAAAATAAAATTGCTAAAACTGCTAAAGAAATATACCTACGTTTATTTCTACACGAGGAAGTAGAAGCAGCATGAGTCTGAGTTAGAGCCTACTTGTAATACAAAACCATTAAGAAAAAAAACTAAAGCTGAAGAATTAGCAGAAATAATATCTAATACAACTTCAGCAGCAGTAAAAACTAAAGGGCTAACTTGTAACTAAAGGGCTAACTTTTGACTTGCATTAAACGTGAAATTGCAGTACTCGAAAACACTGGAAACAGGCCAAGTTCTTTAGAAAAGATTTATAATGCCATGCTAAGTCTTCTCCCGTCTTCTATAGAAGCAGAAAGAAGTTTTAGTGCAGCTGGTTTATTTGCCACTAGTTTAAAAACTAGCTTAAATGATGACACAAATTATAAATTTAGGTTTTTTAAGATCATATTTGATGAAAAGAGAAATAAAATCATAAAAAATATAAACTACTTTTTGTTAAGTTATAAACACATTTTTCCTAAAATTAATTGAAAACTAATTGACTAATTTTTGGAAATTTAATCGTTAATCGATTAATGTAAAAAACCGATTAATCTACCACCCTTAGTTTATCCTTATATCAAATTAGGATGCTTCGAAAAAAATTGGAGTGATTGGAGTCTGGGAACTTCAAAAACCACAAAAAATTTTTTCTCCCCCCCCCAGCCCCAAATATGAGGGCAATAAGTTACAGAGATTTATACTATTGCTATTCTTAACTAAATTTATATTCATCAACATATTTCAAATTTCATCTAATAATACTTTAGCATTTAAAAATTATGACTATTTAAAGTTTCCACTCTCCCCATAATAAGGGGGTTAAAATTTTTACATTTTCATAACTTTCGAACGCTAAAATATTATTAAATGAAATTTGAAATCTGTCGATGATTATAAATTTAGTTTGATATAACAATTGTATAAAATTTGGTAACTTATTGCCCTAACATTTGGGGCTGGGGGCAAGAATTTTTGGGTTTTGGTAGTTCCCAGGCTCCAATCACTGAGATTTTCTCAATCACCAAATAAAGCTTTGATACTACTGCATCCATCATTGGAAAGCCGAGAAGTTATAACAAGTATAGCATTTAGACTGGGCCAGCCACTACTTCTCCTTACCTGTAGACACTATATTTTGGAAAGACATTTTACCCACTTTAACATGATATAAAGTAGTAAAACGTCTGGTCCAGAAAACCAGCTCTTTAAACACCTAAAATCTGTCAGGAATGATCTTGAAAAAGACACAGTTCCATTAATGAGGATTCTAACTCAAACAGAAACTTGGATAAATAAACAACATCTTGAGGCTGAACAGTTCTATAATTATATAATTATAAACAAACAAAAATAATAGAGATGTGTTAGATAATAGGTTCCTGGCATTATGCTAGATGCATGGCAAGAGCATTGTATACCTTAAAATGTATTTACAATTAGAAACCATTCCAAATTTATCAGAAGAAAATATAGAAGAGATTCGTGATATTGCTATGTTTGTCGGCATCTTTTACACTCAGTGGCTTCTTAGAGCAGTATTGCCAACTGCTGTCCCATATCAGGTTAAAATAATAATTATAAATAAGAAAACAGCATAAAAAATAATTAATTAATTGCTTGATTAATGACTTAATCTAATATTGTTAAAACATTGCATAGGATATGAAAGCTCTATTGCAGATGACGAGGTTCATGGATATAAATCTTCTTGGAGTTTCAGTATTAAAATCATGTGACAGACAGATAAACTTTGCTAAAAAAAAAGAAGATAATGCCAAAGCAATAATTACACTTCTCGCCGAACAAAATGTCTCCATTTAAACGTGTTTTGGTCGATAAAGGGCTTTTTCACTCTCTAGACTTAGCACAAGATCAGCCCCCATCTTTTTGTTCTCTAGTAATTTAGCAATCTTGGCTTATCATTGATAAGATTGGACATTGAAAGGGTTATTTGCAGTGGCTTAAGTACCTTTCACAATTCTGGAAGTTCAACAATTTTTATCTTGGGTTTAAATCTACTATTAAAGTCAAAGAAAAAAAGAGACAGAATTTGTTCTTGCTTAACTATTTTTACAAAAGAAGTAAAAAAGGGCAAAAGAAAAAAGATTTAGGATAGAATGTAACAAAAAATATTTAAAATGTTAAGTGTTAATAATTTAAAGTCTAATACAACATTGATTTTTTTTTTTTATTATTATAAAATTCAACTTTTAAAAAAGAAAACTATTCAGAAAATAGTTCTAGAAAATGAGACAGTTGTTGAAAGTGAGAAATAAGTTATGAGGCTGTGTCGTATCAACTGTATTGTGTTTATATGGCTATAATTTCTTAACTATTGTAATTGGCAGTCTGAAATTTTAAATTTAACTGGTTTACATAATGCGCATAATATGCAAATAATCAGGAATGCAGATATATATATATATATATATACATATATATATATATATATATATATATATATATATATATATATTATATATATATATATATATATATATATATATATATATATATATATATATATATATATATATATATATATATATATATATGTATATATATATATATATATATATATATATATATATATATATATATATATATATAATATTATTATTATTATTATTATTATTATTATTATTATTATTATTATTATTATTTAATAAGATTTATTATTTAAACAAAACATTTATTACATCATAGAATCTATTAAAAAATAGAACTATTTTTGCATTACAGTATAGTAACTAACAAAAGTATTTAGCAGAAGAAAAAAAATCATTTGGCTTTGGCGTAAGTAAAAGTGTACAGCAAGAAGGAATTTTGTAACTGTCACATATAAACAAATGTTTTGATTATGAACTTTCATACCAGTTCAAACATAGTTATTTCAATTGTAATTGATTCATTTTTTTATATTTTGCTTTCTTGTGAAACAAAAATTTGAAAATAGTGTACAACCTTCAGTATTGCTATAATTTACGGATATGAAATTATTTAGTAGTACTTACATGTTTTTAGATTTAAAGTTACCAACCTTTAATACAAGTAGGCTTAGTTTAGAGAATCTGATATTCAGTCTTTTTTGTTATTATTATTATTATTGTGTAATTGTGGGTTACAAGCCTGCTAACAAATAAGTAATTTAAACTTATTTGTAAGCAATTTTACTATAGTTAAAAAAAACTACCTCCATCATTTTTTCTTTATTTGGCGTTAACAATTTCATCGTAGCATAGCCAAGCATCGAGACCCCACCAACAATGAGCGTCATTTTCATTACATTTGACATTTTTTTTGCAAAACAATTAAATTATAAACAACAATTTTATTTGCCTGATGGCTGCGTGCAAGACCGCATATCACTTTGCTAAAGTCATAGTGGAAGGGGGGGGGGCTTGTCCTTAATTGTTTTATGCTAATTTCGAACTACTTAAAAAGTTTTTTCATTATAAATATTTGGTCTTCTACTTCAGTTTCAATAAAAGTGATTATTTTGACAAAACAATCAATTGTTAAATTTAATGAAATCATTATTATTATCAAAGTAGAATCCGAGGTAAATTTTTTTTTCCGTTTTATCAATAAAGTACGTTATCATTAGGTGTAGTTATAAATACAGCAAAAAATTAGGCATTATACATTAAACTGCACCTTATAAGGAAAAATTCTTAACAATTACTAGTGAAAATGCGAAAAACTTCATTTTAGCCGTGGTGCAGTGATTTGAGTTCTTTCTTAGAATCAAGAGGTCTGAGCTTTATTTTGGCTCTAATCAGATAAAAAATATTGGTAAGGAATATGGTGTAAACTTCCTAGTTAAAATGACCTTCCACGGTATTATGTGATAAGACCCTTAATTCTTCATGGTGCACCTTAACAACTAAAAAAAAAGTCATCGTAGGTGATTGTGAATTGTTTTGATGACTTTCCATGTTAAAAAAAACTTTCAATTATTAGCTTGTTCTTCTGTAGATAAATCTTTTAAATAAAGTGGATCTTCGCTGCTATGATCTACTGTATTAATAAAATAAACACCCCATTCATCAATAATTGATGAATATATTTTCAATAAATATATTGAAAAAAGAGAAAGATCTATTAAATGTCAAAAACAATAATTGTTTTTGACATTTAACAAGTCTTTCTCTTTTTTCAATATATTTATTGACATCTGATTCACAAGTAAATGGGCTGCCTTGTAATTTTAAACAAGCTAAGATATGATATCTCTTGGACGCCTAATGTAAAACTTCCAGGTCTTTTTTTTTTTGCTAACCCGCTCTGTCTAAGTTGTTTCTGTCACTGGTTCCAACTGTTTTATATTTTTATATAACTATTTTATATTTTAAAATTTTTTAACAATAGGACACATTACCCGAAATATTTCTAAATTACATGAATCTTGATTTCAGAATGGTATGGATATTTATGGATATTAAGTATATTACGAGGAATTTTTGTAATCGACGACATTTCGCTTAAGTTCAATGTTATTTGTAATTGTTTTAAAAATTGAAAAAACTCGATTAAAATCATAATACGTCAGTTATTCGATTATTGTATTTTTTTCCAAACCCATAATACTTTCTTATTTTCTGTTGAAAATAGCTAGGTTTTGCAAAACTATATTTGAAAAATGATACAATCATCCTTTTTTTTTTGATGAGTATATACGAACTGCTTCTACAATTACTGAGCAGTCAATTTTGTTTAATGAAAATTTTCACAGATAATTTATTGTTGACTTTATTTAAGACAAGCACAAAAACAACCCTGATTAAAGACAACTTTTTATGATAAAGTTCGTCAATTACTGAGAGATTTCTAAAAAAGTTTATTAAATTTGATTTATTTGTTTACTAGTTTATGATTGATTTATTTATTAGTTTGCTACTTTTTGTTGCAACATTTTTCATTTTAATTGGTATCTAAATTCAGGTTATAAAATTAATAGCTAAGTATTTTTCTGGCGACGTAAATCGAAAAAAAATTTTACACTAGATAAGACTTATTTTAGTTCAACTTTTATTCATTTTAATACTAAGTCATCCAAATCAAAATTTAAATTGCATAAATTTTAACATAAAGTTGCGTAAGTCTTTACACGCAAAGACTCTTAGCTCTTCTCTATGTTCCAAAGATTTTTAGTTTTTAGGTTTTTAATATTTTTAAAAATGTTTTAAAAAAAAACTTAATTGTAAGTTGAACTTTTCTAAAAAAAAATTTAGTAAGAATAACTAGTTAAACAGAAAATATAGAATTTTGAACACATCCCCTACCCTTTTCCCTTCTCTTAATAGTTATACACAACGATAAGTTTAAAAAAGATATTTTAAATTTGTTTTTTGTTATATGATAGCCAGTGAAGTAACAACCATAGAGACAAGGTGGAAAAATATCAAGAACTACAAGCAACAAAGGGGTCTCTAAATACTTTAATAAGGAAATTTTACTTGAACTGACAAACACTTACGGAGAAGTTTTTACAAAAAAACAAATGAAAAACTGAAAAATTGATTTATAGGGTTGTCCACAAATTACGTCCCGCAATTTTTGAACATTTTTGATCCTCTCACCAACCCCTTCCCCTCCCTACTCGTCGCAGCATCGTAACTCTTTAGTAAGAAGTTCCGTATGGTCGTCACAAAACCACTAACCTATCCCCATTTGCATTTAAATTACTTTTTTTTTTTTTTTTACACATTTTAGTAAATCGTTACATAATAAGATATAAGTAAAAGATAAAAGAACGCGGCTACTCGCTACTCGTAGAAGAATAATTATGTCACGTCATCGAGAACCGCTCGTAATTAAAAATCTCATAAATTTTTTACATACATAAATTAATATATACATAAAAAATACAGCAAGTTATTAAGTGTTTAAAAATATAAATATATATCATCCACAAAAAAAATGATTTTTTTAAGCTTTTTTTTAAACGTGAGATAATTTTTTAAAACTATTATGTTCCAAAGAAAAGATTGGCGAAATAAAATGTTTGATTTTCCAAAGTTAATTATAAAAAATGGTTGCCGAATTAAACTATTGTTTCTTAAATTGTATTTATTTTTATCTTTCAAATAATTTTATAATTGTGGAAAAAAATTGGAGAGGAGTTTGTTTTGCATTTGAGCATAAAATATATGAAAATATTGAGCTGATATATATTAAAAATTTTCATTTCAAATAAAAGAGGCTTGGTATGAGTAAATCTGTTTTTAAAATTGATTAGTCGAAAAACATGCTTCTGTTGACAATAAAGAGGTTCCAATTTAAACTCATTGGCATTACAACAAACAATACTTGCATAATTTAAATGACAATAAATAAATGAGAATTATTGTTGACTTTGACTACATTTGTTTACTTCTAGCTTTATACAATATTCATATAATTTTGGCAACTTTATCACACAAGAATTCAATGTGGTATTTCGGACTAAGTTTTTTATCGACTACCCAAAAAGTTTGTCCTAGTTACTCATTTAATTTGAATTTTATCAATAAAAAGTAAATGTAAATCAAGAGGTTACATTTTTGTTTTAGAAGTTTGATGAAAGTGTGACCATTTTGTTTTTTCAACAATTTGTGAAAACTTATTTATTTAAAATCAATCAGAAACTTTTGTTAATTTAATATTAATATTTTTATGTTATATTGGTATGTTATTATCAGATAAAAAAATGTTGGTATGTTATTATCAGATAAAAAAGGTTAGTGTCATTAGCAAATATGTCTGACATTAAATTCGAGCTTTATGAAAATTATTTATGTAAATAAGAAAGTGAAATGGTAATATAGAACTCTGAGGTACTACAAGGGTTATATTCAATAAATTGACGAGATCTTTTTCATTACAATAAACAAACTGTCTACGGTTGCTTAAATAATTTTTAAGTAAAAATCAAACATTACCTTTAATTATATAATATATTATTTATTTGATGAAAATTTTATGATCTATTGTATCAAAAGCTTTTTATAACCAATAAAAACTTCCAACGAACATTTGGGATTTTCAAAAAGTAATAATTAACTGGTATTTTTAATAAAATTATTAGTTCTTGTTATGGTATTATCAATAAAAGTAGCTAATCTGGTAGATTTATTAGTTAAAGGAAATGTCCCATATTTAAACACATCATTATAAAACTTTTTTTTCCCCACAATTGTTGTAGTATTAAAAACAATCCAAATTAATGTCACCTATTATATAGTAAAACTATTGAGGTTTTTGATTTGACCACAAGGTAAAAGCCTATTACAATTTGTTACTTTGACAATAACATTAGCGATAGGCTTTTACTTTTTTTCTCTACAATTTCCACTGTTAAAATGTCTTAATCATCATCAAATTTACTCATCTCAAGCCTCATAACAAACTTTAATTATTTATTAGTGTAATTTACTTTTAATATTTTTAATTTAAAACTTTATTAAAACATAGTAAACACCTGTTTTTGTTGGAAATTTAGGTCAAACCAAATGGACATGCGTCGTCCGAAGGACGTCCTGCGTACGGTACATTTAAGTCGGATCGTCTCGATACGTTTATTCAACGTCCTAAGGACGTCCTTTCATTTCTTAATTAATTTATTGGAAAAAGGACGTCCCACGGCTGTCACATTTACGTAACGCAACGGACTTATTTAAATGTGGTTTTTTACTTGAGTACGTTAAAAAGAAAGTTTATCATGTCAACAAACGTCAAAAAAAAGTTGCTATAGATAACAAAGCGAGATAACTTTCAATAACTTTTTCTTTTAAATTTATGAGTTTATAACTTGACTACTATGTATATATACGTATAGTTACTATATATACGTATAGTTACTATATATATATAGTTGCTATATATACATATAGTTACTATAAATAGCAGTATAGTCTAGTCTACATAAGAATATATTCGTAGTCTACATAAGAATATATTCTTTCTACATGGACTGTAGTCTGTAAGCTTACAGAGGAAGATCTTATTAATGCAAATAACCTATATATTGATAGAGATGTGGTCGTAGTCGAAGTAAATAACCTATATGTTAATAAAATAATACCTTATTTACATCTAGAAGTTCTAGATGCAAATAGAAATTAAAAGATAAATGAAAATATGGTAACTAGATGGATTTCAGTAGTTTTGAAATATGATCCCATCTAATCAAAGTTATATTAGAAGAAATATTAAAAAACTAAAGTTAGCTAATTTTATTTTAACCTATCACACTTATATCTATATATACATATATATATATATATATATATATATATATATATATATATATATATATATATATATATATATATATATATATGCATATATATATATATATATATATATATATATACATATATATATATATATATATATAT